GTACCTTGTGAACATACTTTTTTGGCACATTAGTCTAACATTTTTTATCTCTTAGTTGGACCACCTAGTTCACGGCTCTTCTGCTGGTCTCCATTGGTCCTGACTGCTCTGCGCTCTTCTCTTTCTTGCCTTCCTCTAGGTCGAGTGCTTTTCCATCCCACTTGAACCTGCCCTTAGCTTTGAAGCTGCATACTGCTTCTCCTTTAATAAGTCTTCAAGAAATTTCAACATGCAGTCTCGATCTATCAAAATGTTATTACTCTCAAGTTGAACCTTTTCAAACAAGGCAAAGTCTTAGAACAGTGCTCTCAAACTCTCACTTTTCGTCTCATCGTGGACAAATAAATAATGAAATAAAAAGGCAAAGATGTACAAAACACACACAGTTTTGAGATATAATAAACATGCAACAAACTGTACATGTTTAGGTGCATAATTTGTTAAGTTTTGGAATATGAGGGGGGTTCAAAAGACTCATGAAGAAATCGTTAAGATACAAATAAAAATATAAGCTTTATTCTTCAATGTAAGCACAGTCAAGTTCAATATACTTTTCTAAGTCATTATCAGTCATTTAGTTCGTCCCCAAAGAACAAAGGGGCCTGGGAATTTCACCATGTCATCGCAGTCCTGTTTACATTGTTCACTATGAAGAAAAAGTGGGTGCCTTTTAAAGGTTTTTACATTACAGGGGGAGATGCAGTCAGAAGCAGAAGGTCCTATTCTCCATCAGAACACTGCCCTTGTTTGATGTGAGCAGGAGCACCGTCGTGGAGGGGAAGACTCTGGTGCAGCTTTCTAAGGTGTTCTGTTAAAGCTCTGCTGACTCTCACGTTACTGTTCTCCAACCCTCTAGAAAGTAAACAAGCAAAATGCCTCGAGCATCCCCCAACCCTGCTGCTGCAGTCTCTGCTCTTGACTCGTCTGCTTTTGCAGGCCACTTCCCCCCTTGGCAGCCACGACTTTGTGCTTTGCCTTCAGGATTCTACCAGAATGCTGTCTCATGTCCTGGTACAATTCTTCAAAGAAATGCTTCAGCATCTTGATCCCACTTCTTTAAAACTGATCCCACTTCTTTAAAATTTCCACTGAAAGCCCTGCTTTTGTCTGCAGTACAATTTTGATACCCACTGCACAGAGTTTGCTCCTCTTTGATTTTTCAATCACAGTTATGTCAGCTGAACCATGAGGTGTCCTACAGCACTGACAACTGTTTCTGCTGTTAATCATCGGTCCTCCTCAATTAGGGCACAAACAGGATAATTTTTTTTCTCTTAAATTGATGTGGATGGTCTACTGCTGCTGGCTTCATCTTTCACATCATCTTGGTCCTTTTTTTTTTTAATTGATTTATTTGAATGTCAAAGCTCCAGAGAGAGGGAGACACACACACACACACACACAATGCATCCACAGGTTCACTCCCCAAATGGTTGCCACAATGGCCAGGACTGAGCCAGGCTGAAGCCAGGAGCCAGGAGCTTCATCTGGGTCTCCCACATTGGTGCAGGGGCCCAAATACTTGGGCCATCTTCTGCTGCTTTTCCCAGCTTATCTAAGCAGGGAGCTGGATCAGAAGTGGAGCAGCCGGGACATGAACTGGCACCCACATGGGATGCCAGCATCCCAGGCAGCAGCTTTACCTGCTATGTGTGGGGAGCAACCCGGACTGGACTGAGTTACTGGAATTAAGACTTATTCTATGCATCTGCTCTCCCACAATATGGTGCTGAGAAGGGAGAAACAGCTTCTACACAGCTGCCTCCGGTTCAACCAATAAACTGTAGGACCTACTCCTGATTGGAGGAGAGCAGCGTACTCGGCGTGTGGGTAGCAGAGTTGGGATTGGCGGAAGAGGACTATAAAGGAGGAGAGAGACAACATGCACCAGGAACATCTAAGGGGAACATCTAAGGGAACACCTGTGCAGCCCCCGAGAGAGCCGGCCGGCGGTGTGCCGCTCCCCTGCGGAAGTGGGGAATGTGGCAGGGGGAACTGCCCTTCCACGGAGGTGGAAGGGACGGCAGCCAACCCGGGAAGAACCAGCAGCAAACCCGGGGAGGGCCGAGCAGACAAAAGAACAGCGCAGGGTCTTGTGTCGTTCCTCCACGAAGAGGGGGAGCAACATAATGGTGCCGTGACTCGGATCGGAAACCTAGGAGGGATAGGAAACCTAGGAGGGAAGAAGTGGAAAATACCGGAGAGAGAGACTAGCAAAGAGCCTACGGGAAAGCTGGACAGAAAAGGTGCCGGAAGAAGCTATTGAAAGCCTAGGCATAGACTCGGATACGGACTGTGGGAAAGAAGTTAGGATTGAAAGCGAAAGTGAAAGCTTTCATAGACTCGGATGCGGACTATGGCAGGGAAGCTAGGAGATTGAAAGCGAAAGTGAAACCTGGAGGAGGCTTGGACTCGGATATGGACTGTGGGGAGAAGCCAGGAGAAATGAGAGGAATATTGTTGGAAGAAAACTTAAGGAAACATACCGGTAGAGAAAAATGTTAGGGAGGATGAAGCCGCGAGTGCAGGCCGAGGCGGAGACGTAAGCCACCTTGGAATTCTTCAAGTCACCCTGGGGAGCAAGAGGCGAAGATCTGGAACCAGAGGCAGAGACGTGGGCCGCCAGGTTGGAATTCGCCAGGTTAGTCCGGGGAACTTGGATTGAATGCTAGTGGCGGAGACGTAAGCTACGCTGTGTGACTCGTGGAAGCCGCCGCGTGCAGAGAGAGCACGGGGCGTGAATAGATAGGGAACGCGGGGCTGGCGCGAGGCCGTGGTGCGGACGCGAAGGGCGTGGAGACCACGGAGCGCGCGAAGCCAAGCTGCGCAAAGCCGGGAAGCCGTGCAGATGAGAGAGGCGCGGGCTGAAGCGGCTCAGAGCCGGGAAGCCGCCGAGAAGTAGCCTCGGGGCGGGTGCCGGGAAGCCGCAGGGATAAGAGAAACAGAAGTCTAGAAGTGAAATGAGAGAAATAGGAATGCTGGTAGATAGAAGTAAAATAGGAGAAATAGGAATGCCCGGAGATAGAGAAATAGAGAAAGGCCTCCCCACAACACAGCAATGAGAGAGCTTGGATTCGGTCTGCCTGATTAGGACGATAAGCACCTGCGGGCGGCTAGCAGCTTATGCACTGCAGGTCACCGAAGACAGGCACGAATTAACACCAATAAGTCTCCCCACAATATGGCAATGAGAAGGCTTGGGTTCGGTTTGCCTGATAGGACTTGTAAGCACCTGCAGGCAGTTCTAGCAGAGTAGAGCATGCGCTGCAGGGCACCGAACACAGGCATGCATCAGCGCCTAAAAACCTCCTCACAACATGGCAAAGAGAGGACCCGGATTCGGTTTGCCTGATTGGTAGGCTTGTAAGAACCTGTGGGCAACTCTAGCAAGCAGAGCAGAGTGTGTGCCGCGGGGCACTGAAGACAGGCGCGTATCAATGCCAAAAATAAAAAGAAAGTGGGATCTGTGGGGAGCAACCCGGACTGGACTGAGTTACTGGAATTAAGACTTATTCTATGCATCTGCTCTCCCACAATATGGTGCTGAGAAGGGAGAAACAGCTTCTACACAGCTGCCTCCGGTTCAACCAATAAACTGTAGGACCTACTCCTGATTGGAGGAGAGCAGCGTACTCGGCGTGTGGGTAGCAGAGTTGGGATTGGCGGAAGAGGACTATAAAGGAGGAGAGAGACAACATGCACCAGGAACATCTAAGGGGAACATCTAAGGGAACACCTGTGCAGCCCCCGAGAGAGTCGGCCGGCGGTGTGCCGCTCCCTTGCGGAAGTGGGGAATGTGGCAGGGGGAACCGCCCTTCCACGGAGGTGGAAGGGACGGCAGCCAACCCGGGAAGAACCAGCAGCAAACCCGGGGAGGGCCGAGCAGACAAAAGAACAGCGCAGGGTCTTGTGTCGTTCCTCCACGAAGAGGGGGAGCGACACTATGCCACAATGCTGGCCTCATCTTTTTCCTTCTTAAAATGAACTCTCCATTTGCGAACTGCTGATTTATTGGAGGCATTGTTTCTGTAAACTTTTTGCAGGGCATCAAGGATTTCAGTATTCTTCCACTCGAGCTTCACCATAAACCTGGTGACTGTACTTGCTTTGATTTTAGAATTCATTTTGCTCTGATCGCAGCTCTTCAAGCTGATGTCTTCTCGCTTCTTAGTGCCTCAAACTAGATCCTCTTCAGATCCTCTTCCATTAGTATAAGTTTATTTTGGTGCAAAACACCCAAGATCCATGCATAGTTTTTTATAATACAGTTTCCAGGAACTATTTGAAGATTTTGTATCCCACACCTTGCACAAAAATTAACTGAAGGTGTATCCTAGGTTTAATTGTAAAACATATAATCATAAAACTCCCAGAACAGGAGAAAGTTTTACATTATTGTGTTAGACAAAGATTTCCTAGATACGCTCTATAAAATTTTTCTTCCAAACTTGTGGACTTCTGCTATCAGCCCCACCTTGCCATAGGGCACAACACAGTTTTGTTTTGGAAGGATGCTTACTGTCAGTCATTATAAAAAGCTCTCTGGAACTTACATGTATAATATATATTTCTGAACTTATGTGGCTATTATATCTGAATAAAGTAGTATTACTTTAGCTTTACCAAAGATATTTTTAAAAACGAAATGTAGGGGGCCGGTGCTGTGACGAGGCGGGTAAAGCTGCTGCCTGCAGTGCCAGCATCCCATATGGACACCGGTTTAAATCCCAGCTGTTCCACTTCTGATCCAGCTCTCTGCTATGGCCTGGAGAACAGTAGAAGATGGCCCAAGTGCTTGTGCCCCTGCACCCTCGTGGGAGATCTGGAAGAAGCTCCTGGCTCCTGGCTTTGGATAAGCCCAGCTCCAGCTGTTGCCACCAGTTGGGCAGTGAACCAGTGGATGGAAGACCTCTCTCTCTGCCTTTCCTTTTCTATGTAACTCTGCCTTTCAAATAAATAAATAAATCTTTTTAAAAAAATGAAATGTAAAGCCACATAACTGATATCTGCAAATCATTTAATTGACAAGGGACTTGTTTACAGATCATAGAACTCTTGAATCCAAGCACTAAAGAAAAACTCCAAAAATGGGCAAGATATATCATTAAGAAGATGTACAGAAGGCAAATGTTGGGGAAAGATGACCAAAATCACTATTAGTTATTAGAGAACTGCTTTTTAAAACCACAGTGAGACACCATTAGTAATCTATTAGTATGATTAAAATGAAAAACAAGAGGCCAGCCTTGTGGTGCAGCAGGTTAAGCCACCACTTGTAATGCCAACATCCTATCTGAGTATTGGTTTGAGTCACGGCTACCCCACTTCTCATCTAAGTGGAGGTGCTAAGGCACTTGGGAAGGCAATGGAGGATAGCTCAAGTACTTGGGCGCCTGCCAGCCATATGTGAGATCAGACGGAGGTTCTGGTTCCGAAATTTGGCCTGGCCCAGCCCTGGCCATTGTGGCCACTTGGGGAATAAACCAGCAGATAGATCGTCTTGCTCTCTGCCTCTCAATAAATAAATAAATCTTTTTTTTTTTTTAAAGGCAGAAAGTGTTGGGGGGGGCAGAGAGAGAGAGAGAGAGAGAGAGAGCTTCCATCCGCTGGTTCACTCCCCAAATGGCCACAATGGCCAGAGCTAGGCTGATCTGAAGACAGATGCCAGGAGCTTCTTCCAGGTGTCCCACATGAGTGCTGGGGCCCAAACACTTGGGATATCTTCCACTACCTTTTCAGACTATCAGCAGGAAGCTGTATCAAAGTGGAGCAGCCAGGACTCAAACCAGCACCCATGTGGGATGCCAGCACTGCAGAGGTTTAACCTACTGCACCACAGCACCAGCCCCTAAATAAATATTCTTTAAAAATAAGCAAGATAATCAAACCTTGATGATAACAAATCTGGGAAAGATGTGGAGCAGTGGGAACTCACACTGCTCAACAATGCAAAATGGGCTGACCACTTGGACAAACACTGGCAGCTTTCTATAGTTAAGCATTCACTTTTCAAGTGACCCATCAATCTTGCTGGGGACTTAACCAATAAAAAAATGTATTTGTGTAGATACATACACAGAAGAGTCAACATCTGTGGGACAATTACAAAGGATTGATAGACAATGGGAATATAAGAAAAAAGAAGAAACAATTGTAGTACTGATGGCCCAGGGACCAGCACTGTGGTGTAGTGGGTAGAGCTGCTGCCTGTGATGCTGGCATTCCATATGGGCACCAGTGGCTCCACTTTTGATCCAACTCCTTGCTAATGGTCTGGGAAAAGCAGAGGTAGATGGCCCAAGTGCTTGGGACCCTGCACCCAAGGTGGGAGACCTGGAAGCTCCTGGCTTCTGCCAGCCCAGCCCTGGCCATTGGTGCCACCTGGGGTGAATTGGCGGATGGAAGACTCTTCTGTCTTTTCTCCTCTCTCTGTAGCTCTTCAAATAAATAAATCTTAAAAAAAAAGATGACCCAAATTCTTGCAAAATCAAATGACACCAAAGCACAGATCAAGTGAGCACAGAGAATACCAAGACAGATGAATATAAAAAAAATCTACATGTAGGCACAGCATATTCAAATTGGAGAAAACCAATGAAAAAGAAACAATCTTTAAAGATGCCAGAGGAGGCTCAAACTACCTTATAGAAGCACAATAAGCATTGCATCAGCCCTCACCAGAAAGCATGAAGGAAGATTTTTGCATATTGACCATAGAATGTGAGGCCTTACTAAATTCCTTAGTTCTAAGAGCATCTTTGTTGATGCCTTGGGATCTTCCAAGTGGACAATCATGCCATCTGTGAAGAGAGACCATTTTGTTTCTTCCTAATATGAATGTCTTATTTTCTTCTCTTGCCTGAGTGCACTGAGGACTTCTCATATGATGCTGAACAGGAGGGGTAAGTGGACATCTGCATCTCGTTCCTGATTTTAACAGCATCTAGTTTATCATCAGTAAGCATGATGTCGTTGTGGATTTTTGGTAGATGCCCTTCATTAGGCTTGCTTTTATTTCTAATGGTCTGAGTCTTTATCATAAATGAGCATTTGATTTTATCAACTGTTTTTTTTCTACCTCAATTGCAATGATCAAGTATCCTTTTTCACGTATTGTTTGAATACGTATTATTAGTCCTCAAGTTCACTCACTGTTCTATCATCTCCATCCTGTTATGAGCCTTCTAATGATTTTTTGTCGATTTTGTTATTGTATTTAATTCTAAAATTTCTATTTAATTCCTTTTTAAATATTATCCTGTTGAAAATTTTGACATTTCCAATCATTTCTGGAATGATCACACTTTTTGAAATACTATCATATTTGAAAATATTTTGTTTCGTAATTCCAACCTCTGTGTCATCTTGGGGTCAGTGTCCATTGTCTCTTTTCTTACCAATTGTTGAAATTTTCCTGGTTTGTATTTTTCATGTAATTGCTGCACTGCATCTTACACATTTTGAATGAAATTCTGGGTATTTAGTTCTTAGAGAAAATGTTTTCTCAGCAGGCTGTTTACCTGCAATTTTAGGTTGTGGTCACCAGTTCCACTCCACCTGCTGTGGGCAGTGCTCCCAGAGTCAGTTTTCTCAGTATTTACAGTGCTAATTGGATCTATCCTACACGGCCAAAATCAAACCTAAGCAATGGCCCATCCTTTCAGCATCAAACCTCTACATGTACAGCTCAGGGGAAGCCCAGGACTGCCATACAACTTCAGGAGATCACTTTCTGGAATTTCTGTTCTCTGTCATCACCCTAACACCGTCCAGCTCCCAGCAACCACTGCCTCTTCCAGTCTTCTGCTTAGGAATCCATTGCTGCAGGTTCTCCTCTCTGCTTCACAACTCATGGACACATCCAGTTCCAGTCCAAGTAGGAGGAAGACAGGAAGAGAAGGAAGCAACAGGGATTCTCCCAATCCTATCTGGCAAGGTTCCTCTGACCAGAGGTTTAGATGCCCACTCAACCATCATTCCTATCACAGGAAGGCCAACATGGTGGTACTTCAGATTCTGGTTTCCTTCCCAAGTTTGTCTGCTACCATTACTTTTCAAGGTCCTCAGACAGGTGCTCCACAAATATGTAGTGAGACAAAGTGGAATGTGTTTACCCCTTTTAGAAGTGGAACCAGTGAGGGGCCGGCACCGTGGCTCACTTGGTTAATCCTCCACCTGTGGTGCCGGCATCCCATATGGGCACCGGTTTTAGTCCCGGTTGCTCCTCTTCCAGTCCAACTCTCTGCTGTGGCCTGGGAAGGCAGTGGAGGATGGCCCAGTGCTTGGGCCCTGCACCCGCATGGGAGACCAGGAAGAAGCACCTGGCTCCTGGCTTCGGATTGGCGCAGCGCCAGCTGTGGCAGCCATTTGGGGAATGAACCAATGGAAGGAAGACCTTCCTCTCTGTCTCTCTTTCAAACTATCTATAACTCTACCTGTCAAATAAATTAAAAAAAAAAAAGAAAAAGAAAAAAGAAGTTGAACCAGTAACAACTCAAAGTTATTTTACTTCCAGTGATTACATTCCTGGAGAATTAACTTTCCAAGAATCTAAGTGAGAATTCTGAGTGGAAGTTTCATATTCATTACTTTACCTTATAACTTTTTGCTTCAATTTTTATTATAAATTTAAACATACAGACAAGTTTAAAGGAAGACCAATGAACATCTCCATATTCACTACAAAGGTTCAACAACAGTTGACTTGTTTTACATATTTATTTGAAAATATAGGGAAAACATCAGGACTTTCTGAACTTCAAATCCTACATGCCTCTCCTAAGGACATTACATTACATACCAATACCATTATCACTTTGATGAAAACTAAACCTACTACATTAACTAATGCATTCCATCTTCATATTACCACAAATATCCCCCAAACATATCTGAATGCTGCTTTAATTGATATAAACCAGAAGCCAATGAAGGATCACACTTTGGATTTGGCTACCTCTTGCGTGTCTTACTCCACGACAGTCTACTTTTTGTTATAGTGGCTTTTTGAAAAGTCCAGAGCAGTTGTTCACATACAATGTCCCAAACTCTGGATTTATCTATTTTCTCACTGTATAACTAAACTTGTTCCTCTATTTTTTGTATTTCTAGTAAAGAGGAGGATAAGCCTAGATAAGAGATTTAGTTGGAGTTTGGTTACACATGTGGCCACACCTCAGAGATAACTGTGTTCTTCACACTGCATCTTGTTAGGAGCCTTAATACCAACTTGCCCACAGCAGTAAAACTCAGCTTGACAGTCAGGTCCAAAAGCCAATCTCTCTTATAAATTGCATCTGCAATCTTTCTGATACCATGAAAATGTTCCTTAAAACTTTTTTTTTCACCTATAGGTTTTACTATCCATTGATTTTTGCCAGATTTAATTACATTAAGGGATGTAAAACAGTACATTTGAAAGATGGCATTCTTCAAATAATTTTATGAAGAGCTAACTTTCTTGTTTTTTTTTTTTTTCCCTTTAACCATTGTAAATCTTCTTTGTAGTGTATTGCAGTGATTCTTGATGTTGATTTCCTAAACTAGGCCAGTGCAAGCACCTGTAAGTTCACTCTTGTGTGCTTAAGACATTACCCCATTAGTCCTCAAAAGCCATCCTGAATTATTTTTCCTTCATAAAAAGATATTCCAGGCAAAACTTATAGTTCTCCTGCTCCAAACATGAAATCGGCCATTTTTGGAAGGAATCCTGGTTCCTGTTCCTGGGTAATGGCATTTAGGTTCTAAACCTGCTCACTGCTACTGGGTACAGTGTTAAATACTGAGGTCTGTTTAAAGCCTCATTTTCCTTGTAAATACAGTTAAAGTACCTAAAATAATATTTTCTGATGACTAAAACAAGTCAACTAAGAAATATACTATGCTAAATACTTGAGTTTGTTTTAATCCTAAAACCTTTCTCAGAGAGAAGGGACTAGCTACTTGTATTAGGACAATTTTTAAATTATACCAATTGTGAAAATCAAATACAGAATTGGAGGAAAGAGAGTCAAGGGAAATGAAATGTTAAAATGATGAATATATGGTCAATAACAAAACATGCAGGGCTGGCGCTGTGGCGTAGTAGGTTAAGCCTCTGCCTATGATGCCAGCATCCCACGTGGGCACCAGTTCAAGTCCTGGCTTTTCCACTTCAGATCCAGCTCCTTGCTAATGGCCTGGGAATGCAGTGGAAGATGGCCCAGGTTCTTGGGCCCTTGCACTCATGTGGGAGACCCAGAAGAAGCTGCTGGCTCCTGCCTTCAAATGGACCCAGCTCTGACCGTTGCGGCCATTTGGGGAGTGAACCAGTGGAATGAAGTCCTCTCTTCTCTCTCTGTCTGTAACTCTGCCTATTAAATCAATAAATAAATCTAAAAAATAATAAAACATGCATATACAACTTCACACAAAAAATTTCCAAAGTATGTGTAATAAAGACAACCTTTTATGTGAAAGCCTCAACAGTAATTTCATACTCTGGACATCAGGTAGGTTTCAGGATTTAAGTATGGTTACAAAAGCAGGTACAGGCCGGCGCCGCAGCTCACTAGGCTAATCCTCCACCTAGCGGCGCCGGCACACCGGGTTCTAGTCCCGGTCGGGGCGCCGGATTCTGTCCTGGTTGCCCCTCTTCCAGGCCAGCTCTCTGCTGTGGCCAGGGAGTGCAGTGGAGGATGGCCCAGGTGCTTGGGCCCTGCACCCCATGGGAGACCAGGAAAAGCACCTGGCTCCTGGCTCCTGCCATTGGATCAGCGCGGTGCGCCGGCTGCAGCGCGCCAGCCACGGCGGCCATTGGAGGGTGAACCAACGGCAAAGGAAAACCTTTCTCTCTGTCTCTCTCTCACTGTCCACTCTGCCTGTCAAAAAAAAAAAAAAAGTACAGTCAGGGACTAATCAAAAAAAGGATTATGATTATATGGTAGTTATTAACTTAAGGAGAAGAGAAATACTCCTATATGAAAAGATGACTTATTAAATAGCTGCATGTGTCTAGCCAGGACACGAAACAAGTAGTATTCTTGGAACTTGAGGTTGTAAATGACCCTGTAATCATCACAGTACCAGACCTGAAAACCTAGAGTCTGGTCTTGACGCTGCTAAACTCAACTTCTTCACTGTAAAGTGAAGGGCTGTAATTAAACTAAAATCTCTCATGGCTGTAATGAGTGCCAGATATAATCTGAGATCCTGCCAAATATCTATCTTCTACAATAGATACAAAATATTGGCACGATGGTCTTTCCACTTGCTTGTCTAGTTCACCCTCTACAGTATTATAGGAAGACTCTATTCAGATACACAGAACCATATCAAATTGAGAAATAACATAGGAAAGTAACTGAAAGAGGGCTTCCTTTTGGAAAGAAATTTTTTCTTTTTTTCTTTTTAAGTCTATTGCATCTGATATCCCCAGGTGATTATAAACATTAAATTCTAAGTTTAAAAAACTGCATTTTTAAAGTCATCACTTTAAAAAAATATTTTCTAAAACTCTGTATATAGGTGTATACATGTACACACACATGCATATATGTATATACAATATGGTTTCAATCACTGATGGACTACGTATGTGGCAGTGGTCCCACAAGATTATACTGGAGCTAAAAAGTTCTTATCACCTGCTATGTCACTGCCATCACAATGCCTCAGCACAATGCGTTACTCATTTGTGATAATGCCCGTATATATAAACCCATGGTACTGTCACTTGCATAAAAGTATAGCACAATAATTTACAGTACAGGATAATTGATAATGACAATAAGTAACTCTTACTGGTTTACAGATTTACTTAACCATCCATCGCTATTTTAGAATATATTCCTACTTAGAAACAGAAGCTTACTGTGAAACAGTACCTATGCCATTTATGCTGGCCATTGCCTCATTCACCTCATGCTCACTGTGTCTCTTCATTGCTACAACAGGCCTGAGTGACTGACCTGTGCCATCAGGTGTGTGTACATACACTCTGATGTCTGCACAATGATGAAATCATTTGATGATGCATTTCTAAGAATACGCCCCCACGTTAAGTGATGTATGAATGTATATGTACACATGCAACTTGCTGATGGGGCAGCTCACAGAGATTCGTAGGAGTTAAATTTAAAGAATTTCTTTTCTGGGCAAGCGCTGAGGTGTAGTGGGTACAGCTGCTGCCTGTAGTGCTGGCATCCCATATGGGTGCTGGTTCAAGTCCTGGCTGCTCCCCTTCCAATGCAGCTCTGCCATGGCCTGGGAAAGCACCTGCATGGGAGACCTGGAAGAAGCTCCTGGCTCCTGGCTTCAGATCGGCCCAGCTCCAGCTATCGTGGCCATTTATGGAGCAAACCAGCAGACGGAAGACATGTTTCTCTCTCTGTTAACACTCTGCCTTTAAAATAAACAAGTAAATCTTTACAACAAAAATTCCTTTTCATTCTTCAGTTTCTTTTTATGAAAAGGAGAGAGGGAGAGAGCTTCCTATGCTGGCCTGCCATTTTAGGAAACAAGGCCTCACACTTATTCACATCATCAGCTCTGATTTTAGAAGAAAATTCACTTACTCTTGGAAAGGAGTTATCATCCAACGAAAGAAACAAAATTTATATTCAATTGGTCTTCGTGCTTTTAAAAAAGCGAGGTCTTTTACTTTCTCTTTGCATTTAAACTTATTTTTAAGTTTCTAGAAACCTTAGAATTTAAGGGTTCTCAGAAAATTTGAGGTCAGTGCTCTTTACATGTTCGTTGATCAATTTTATCATTACATCATGGTAGCTGGCATATTTCCTGCAGGAGAAGTAAAAAGGACTTGATCTAATAGGAGTTTGTGCCATGTTCATGATTCGCCTGATCATTCTCCAGTGTGGAAATATTGAATTATCAGAGATTAACTAAACCTCTGAGGAATTCTCTCCCTTGAGAAATCTCTGATACTGAGTAAGTGAGGAGCTGTAGATGAAGGTCTTCCCATATTCCTTCCACTTAAAGAGTCTTTCCTTATTGTGAACTTTTTTGTGTCTACAAAGGTTTGATCTGTAACTGTAGGCCTTCCCACACTCCATACACTTGTAGAGTTTCTCTCCAGTATGGATTCTCTCATGTTCAGTTAGGAATGAATATTGGCTGAAGGCCTTCCCACACTGATTACACTGGTAAGGTTTCTCTCCAGTGTGGATTCTCTGGTGCCTATAAAGGTTGGATTTGCAACCAAAGGCTTTCCCACATTCTTCACATGTATAAAGTTTTTCGCCGGTATGAATTTTCCGGTGTTCATTAAAGGATGAGTACTGGTTGAAAGTTTTCCCACACTCATTACACTGGTAGGGCTTCTGTCCAGTATGAATTCGCTGGTGTTCGATAAGGGTTGAGATGCGTGTGAAGGTTCTCCCACATTCCAAGCATTTACACAGCTGCTCTCCAGTATGAAGTCTCTGATGTTCGGCTAGGGATGTAAACTGGCTGTAGCCTTTCCCACAGTCACTACATTTGTAGGGTTTCTCACCTGTGTGGATTCTCTGGTGGCGATGCAGTTTTGCTCTACAGTTGAAGGCCTTCTCACATTCACCACATTTATAGAGCTTCTCTCCAGTATGAATTCGCTGATGTACAGTGAGGGTTGAGCACTGGCTAAAGGCTTTACCACACTCTCGGCATCGGTAGGGTTTCTCTCCAGTGTGCACTCTCAGGTGTTTGATGAGGGTGGAACTGCTGCTGAAGGCTTTCTCACATTCACTGCATTTGTAAGGCTTCTCTCCAGTGTGGATCCTCTGATGGGCAAGGAGGGACGACCTGTGGCTGAAGGCTTTCTCACACTCGGTGCATTTGTAGGGCTTCTCACCAGTATGAATTCTCTGGTGTTCCACAAGATGAAGATTCTGGGTGAAGCTCTTCCCACACTCATTACAGACGTAAGGTTTTGCTCCTGGGTAAACTTGGAAGCATCTCATTAGATCAAAATTCTGTTTAAAGTCTTTCCCTATAGTGTAATACATATGGGGCATGCTTTCTGTAGGAACATTCTGTTGTGAGGCAAGATCTGTATTTACAAGTATGTCTTCTCCAAAACTGATGTCCCGGTCACCAAAACGAATGGGCTTTTCCTTTATTATTCCCTGAGATGTTTCTTCTATAACAGCACTCTGTTTGGGAGGAAATGCTTCTGTTTTAGGACAAGTCTTGAAATCTGAAACGAATCAGAAGAATGAATGCTGCCTGTGCTGGAAAGACAAGTGATGCATCAGTAAGACAAAGCAACTGGCAATAATCCATACAGAAGAGGTATGTTGCCATCAGATCACAACTATGGACTTGGATTTGGAGAAAAACAGCATGGGATAATGGAAAGAAAGGGAAGTAGGTGCACACTAGGGAAGTTGGCACTGAAAATGAAGAGAATGCATCCTGGCAGAAGCAGTGTCAGACATATTAGAGAACAGAGTGAACCCAAGGTATGAGGACACAGAATGACGTCAGACGAAAAGCTCAAGGTGACTACTGCAGGGTACTTCAGTTTCTCATCATTTCCACTCTGCTTATGAGGCAACGAAGCAGGTTAGCTCGTCTTCACTTTCTCCTTCCTACTCACATGTCACTTTCATAGTATCTTTTCTCATGCTCTCTCTCAAGTCCTATATACAATAATTTTAAGAAATCTGGATTTGTTTTCTTAAATTTTATGATTTTATATCAGACTGTGAAAGGGAAAAGAGTCCATTAAAAAGGGGATGTTCAGGTTTCAAAAATTATAATAACCCTAAAGTATGACTGTTGATGATATCTGATCAAAGTTTAAGGTGTTCATTATAAAGAGGAGGAAACACAGTCGACCAGTCCTGTGTGTCAATCTATCTCTTATTATTGCAGTAATGATGATATTTTTTCATACGACCCTTCCATCACTTTTTCCTTTTCTCTTTGATCATGATGCAACAAGATGGCACTCCCTTCTTGGAATCTTTGGGGAATATGAAAACCTGCAAGAAAGCTGATGTCACTGAATTATACCAAACCTCAAGCTCAGCTCTGTGGTGAGTGACAAGACACAGCTTGAGCTGATTCTAGGGTTGAAACCTGGCTTTCTTCCATCAGTCCATAGCTGAAAATAGGTCAAAATTGGATTGGTTTAATTAGGTAACTGCATGCTCATATAAATCACACAACGGAAATAAAATCTAACTGGCCCTAAGCATCTCACTGGGGATCAGAATTTCCAAAAACGTTTCCAGAGCATTGCCTCCTCAAGACTTGCTCACCTGTAAAGGCTCCCTGGTGCCCATTTCCCAGGCACTCACCGGGAGAGGTGTCTGGGGGGACTTCTCTTTCCACCACGCTCGGATCTTCTCCTTGTTGCAACTGGTAGATCACTTTTGGTGTTGAAAATGGAGTCCCTGCTCACAAGGAAAGAAATGCAACTTGAGGGAACAGCATGAAGAGCAATCCCAGAACTCCTACAGCACTCACTCGGAAGCTAAAGGCAGAGAAGACAAGCCCCGGGGTGCACAACAGGCAGCACAAGCACTTCTGTGGGCATGGAGCACTCGGGACGTGGATCAAGAAGCAGGGCTCACTGAGAAATAATACAGGGTCCTGGCAATCAATGCCTCTAAGGCAAAAGTCTTCCAGAATCTGAACTGGGATCTAATCATTGGCCCTTTCCAAGATGGAAACTGAGATTTGGAGTGGGGTGTGAGGAAAGGCAGAGAAGGGAGAAAAGAATAGCATGAAGGGAATTCCAACAAAAATGTACGCTTTCAGCTTCACGGTCGACCTTTCTGGAAGCCCAGAGAGGACACCCTACGGCACTGCCATAGCAGAGTCTTCATTCATCACTGGCAGAAGCCATTACCGAGTGAGAGCAGGTTGCTGTAGTTCTCCAGCATCACCTCCCGGTACAAGTGTCTCTGGGCAGAGTCCAGGTGCAACCACTCATCCTGGCTGAAGAACACGGCCACGTCCCCGAACGCCACAGACTCCTGCAACAGCAAACCCAGCCCTGCTTAGCCAGGACCATTTCCTTGAGTGCAGGGCTTGGTAAGAGAGTGACACTGCAATGTGTAGTGAGCAATTTTGAAACCATCTCAGGATTCTATGTATTTCAGAGCAACTAGCTGTGTGATTTTTAAAACTACCCTAACTAATTAACTAAACAAGTACTTACTGAGTACTTGCTGGGAACAAAGACATGACACATGCTGTGGGGGCAGGAGAAAAAAGGCAAAGTTCCTGCCAATAGGGAATTGGAATCCAGCTTGGAATCGCTCTTCCTTTTTAATTATTTTTATTTGAAAGGCAGAGTGATATAGAGAGCAAGAGAAAGAGATCTTCCATCCACTGGTTTACTTCTCAAATACCTGCAACAGCCAGGGCTGGGCCAGGCTGAAGACAGGAGCCATGAACTCCATCCAAGTGTCCCACATGGGCAACAGGAACCCAAGTACGTGGGCCATCATCTGCTGCTTCCCACACACATTAGCAGGAAGCTGGATGGGAAGTATGGAGTACCTGGGACTCGGACCATAGCTCTGATATGGAGTGCAGGCATCACAAGCGATGCCTTAACCCACTGTATCACAAGGCTGGGCCCCAGCCTGGGACCTTTCAAAGTGACTGAGCATACCTGTAACTTCTTCCCACTCAAAATTCAAATTAAATGGAAGAAAAATAATAAAAATCAGAATACATTTAGAGAAATGCTGGAAAACTGTGAGAAATATCAGAACAGAAACATAAAGGAATTTCTGAGATAAAAAGCAAATAATAAGCTGGCACCGCGGCTCAATAGGCTAATCCTCCGCCTTGCAGCGCTGGCACACCAGGTTCTAGTCCCGGTCGGGGTGCCGGATTCTGTCCCGGTTGCCCCTCTTCCAGGCCAGCTCTCTGCTGTGGCCACGGAGTGCAGTGGAGGATGGCCCAAGTACTTGGGCCCTGCACCCCATGGGAGACCAGGAGAAGCACCTGGCTCCTGGCTTCGGATCAGCGTGGTGCGCCGGCAGCGGCATGCCAGCTGCGCCGGCCATTGGAGGGTGAACCAACGGCAAAAGGAAGACCTTTCTCTCTATCTCTCTCTCTCACTGTCCACTCTGCCTGTCAAAAAAAAAAAAAAAGAGCAAATAATAAACATGTTATTATTTATTGAATATGTTAGGCACTGTAATAGGAACTGTGTATATAGTGTCTCTTTTTTTAATGACTTATTTATTTTACTTGAAAGAGTTACAAAGAGGCAGAGGCAGAGAGAGAGAGAGAGAGAGATCTTCCATCCACTGGTTTACTCCCCAAATGGTCACAATGTCTGGAGCTGGGTTGATCCAAAGCCAGGAGCCATGAAATGTTCACAGCCATTAAGCAGAATGAGTCAATGAGCATGACTGACATTGGAATTTGACCTTTACACATTTTTAATTCATATGAAACGAAGCAAGCTATGAAGCAACCTTTATTTGTTGATAATGTCTGCATATGTATACATACAGATGCATGGCACACACAAAAATACCCAGAAGAATATGACAGGCTATCACCCTGATGATTCTTCTAATTTTTTATTTCATTTATTTGAAAGGCAGAGAGACAGACAGAGCACTCCAATTTGCTGGTTCATTCCCCCAAATGCCCATAACAGACAGGGCTGGGTCAGGAGCTGGGAACTTAATCCAGGTCTTCCACAGGGGTAGCAGGGACCCACTACTTGAGCCCTGACAGCTCTATCCCAGGGTGCACAGCAGCAGGAAGCTGGACGCCAGGGGATTTGAATTGCAGACTTATAGTACGTATGCAGGAGTTCCTCCCCAAGTTTTAACTGCTGTGACAAATGCCAGGTCCCTGATTTTTCTTTGGTAACTGTGGAGAGGGGCAGAAAAGCCATCTTTCACTTATTACTTTATACTATTCCATTAGATTTACACTTTTTACAGTGCAATCCTTTGTTTTCAATTTTTTATCCCATTTTAATGTTTTTTAAATTTATTTATTTATCTGAAATAAAGGTAGAGTAACAGAGAAATGTAGAGAGTATGTGGTGAGTTTAGTTAGAGAGAGAGAGAGATCTTGCATTCACTGGTTCACTCCTCAAATGCCCACAGCAGTCAGAGTTAGGGTCTCCTACAAGGGTGGCAGAGACCCAAGCACTTGCGCCATCCTCCACTGCCTTCCCAGGCATATCCAGGAAGCTGGATTGAAAGCAAAGCAGCTGTGACTTGAATCTGCACCCTGATACGGGATGCTGGAAGTGGTGACTTAACCCTCTGTGCCACAATTTCTCCCCTGTTTGATTCCATTTTAATTTATACCTTGACTCTCTAGTTAGATCTCTTGGAACTTTTAGGGGCTGACCTTCCAAATTACAATACATACCCATGGGTACTCAGGGCTAAAAGCATTGCCAGTATACAGGGCAACCCTTGTCTTCGTGCTGTAGCTGCTGTAAAATGTCGCAGTCCCCAGAGCTGACAGGACTCACTGCACTTCACCGAGCACACTCATGACAGGTATGGAGCTGCAAGAAAGGCAAGTGCAGGGAAGCGCTGGAAAGCCAAGAGACAGTCCAGGCACAACCGCCCTCTTCTGCACACCCAGGCTGTGTGCTGTCTCCCCATCTGTGTGAAGAATCTTAGTTCCAGAAAGCTCACAGGAGGACATCTTGGTGTGGCTTTTATGTAAGCAGCAAGGCTTATCAAACCATCTAGGCTGCTTGTTAAGGATCAGTGAGGAAGTTTACTGGGTAGCCAGGAGCCCAGAGCTCATCAACAATATATATACTGCCCTTATCTCGTGGCCAAGAGTGGAAAAACAGACTCCAAACATTCCCAAAGACAACAGTGGAGTTTCTCCAGAGATAAAGACAGCTTTTCTAGTCCTGAAGTCAACAATTTATGGCCAGTTGTCACAAAAATGTTCACACACATACACTGGCATTTCAAAAACAGGGGCCGGTTCTGTGGCACAGCAGATTAAAGCCCCAGCCTGCAGCGCCAGCATCCCATATGGGCACCGGTTCAAGTCCAATCCAGCTCTCTGCTATGGCCTGGGAAAGCAGTGGAAGATGGCCCAACTTCTTGGGCCCCTGCACCCGCATGGGAGACCCAGAAGAAGTTCCTGGCTTTGGATTGGCTCAGCTCTGGCCATTGCAGTCATTTGGGGAGTGAGCCAGCAGATGGAAGACCTCTCTCTCTGTAATGCTTTCAAATAAATAAAATAAATCTTAAAAAAATAATAACTGTACTGATTACATGTGAAGTGATAATATTTGGAACACTGGGCTAGGTGAAACATTTTATTATTGTTAACGTATTTGTTTATGTTACTTCATTCTTTTAAAGATTTATTTGTTTATTTGAAAGGTAGAGTTACAGAGAGAGAGAGATCTTCCATCTGCTGGTTCACTCCCTAAATGGCTGCAACAGCCAGGGCCATGTCATGCTGAAGCCTGGAGTTTCTTCCGGGTCTCCCACGTGGGTGCATGGGCCCAGGGACTTGGGCCATCTTCTGCTGCTTTCCCAAGCCATAGGAGAGAGCTGGATTGGGAGTGGAGCACCCAGGACTCGAAATGGTACCCAAAGAGAATGCCAATGTTTTAGGTGGCAGCTTTACCCACTGTGCCACAGCACCAGCCCCTTATTTGCTTTTTCTAAACATGGCTTCTAGAAGTTTTTTTTTTTTTTAATATATTTATTTATTTAAGAGGGAGAGACACAGAGAGAGGTCTTCCATCTGCTGGTTCACTCCCCAAATGACAGCAATGGCTGGAGCTGTGCCAATCCGAAGCCAGGAGCCAGGAGCTTCTTTCGGTTCTCCCACGTGGGAGCAGGGGCCCAAGCACTGGGCCCATCCTCTGCTTCTTTCCCAGGCCATTAGCAAAGGACTGGCTCGGCAGAAGAGCAGCCAGGACATGAACCAGTGGCCCTACAAGATGCTGGCACAGTAGGCAGAGGCTTAACCTACTATACCACAGTGCCAGCCCCCTCTGGAAGATTTTAATTGACTATATGGCTTGCATTCGTGGTTCATTCCTGCTGCAGAGTGTTGGTTAACAGCAGCTAACTTTCCATACAGAAACCTCATTCTTTTTTACAATTGTGTGATATAGTCCATGTTAACTGATAAAACCATTTCCTGTATCCATGGATACTGAGTTTCTGTTTTTTACTGTCACGAACAATGCACAACGACCAACCTCATACATACAGGTACATATACACCTGTATCTGTCAGAGACTGAACTAATGGGTCAGAGTTACGTGCACTTTTAAGACGTGGCAGACTGCACTTTCCTACAATGGCCACACCAGGGTGGTCTCCCATCTCACAAGCTCTTCGTGTACTGTGTCTCCAGCAATTCCCCACCATGAACTGAGTTCTGTTTCCCTCCCTTGAATCTGAGCAGGCGCTTGTGAGTGCTTGTAACAGTGGCATTCGGTGGAACTGACGCTGTGATTTCCAAGGAGAGGGAGGAAAAGAACACACTTTGCCCCTGGCTCACTGGATGTCACTATTAGAGACAAGTCACTATTCTGTCAGCCTAAGACATGGAGAGGTCATGGGCAGATGTTCCATCCAACTGCCTGGTGTGAGCTGAGGGCCAGGAACTAGCATCAGCGAAGTGACGTGGGGGTGACTAACACTTGAGATAATCCTAGCCCCCAGGCTTTCGGCTGAGACCCCAGACTTTGTACAGTGAAGATAAGCGGTGTCTGCTGTCCTGTCTACATTCCCAAACTGAAGGAATGATTACTGCTGTTTTACAGTCTTAGGTTTCTTACTGATTTACCACACATCCTTCCATGTTAAAAATACAATTTTACAGGACTGGTGCTGTGGCATAGCAGGTAAAGCTGCTGCCTGAGGTGCCAGCAACCCACACGGGTGCCAGTTCAAGTCTCTGCTGCTCCACTTCCAATCCAGCTCCCTGCTAGTGTACCTGGGAAAGCAGCGGAGGATGGCCCGAGTGCTTGGGCCCCTGTACCCACATGGGAGACCGGGAAGACTGGCCCTGCTCCAGCTATTATGGCCATTTAGGGAATAAACCACCAGATGGATGAACTCTCTTTCTCTTTCTCTCTCTCTCTCTCTCTCTCCCCCCACCCTCCATGTTTCTCCCTCTCTCTCTATAACTCTGCCTTTCAAATAAAATAACAAATCTTTAAAAAAAATACAATTTTACTTGATTATCTGAAGTTGTTACATAATGAAAATAGAACAAAGAGAGAATAGTGCAAAACTATCTGAAGTAATAATGGCTGAGAATCTCCCAAAATTAATGACAGACACCAAACCACAAACCCAGAAAATTCAGAGAATATTGAGGAGGATAAATACCAAAAAATCTACACTTTGGCTTGTCATTTTCCAAGTGCACAAAACCAAGGTCGAGGAGAAACCTTGAAAGAAGACAGAGAAAAGGAATCTTATTTACAGAGGAACAAGGATAAGATTTCCAGTGGATTTTCTCATTAGAAATCAGGCAAACAAAAAGAGAGAGAAGTGAAATATTTAAAGTGTTGCAACAAAGATGTCAATAGTCTAGAATTCTATATCCAGTAAACTTACCCTTCAAAGTGGATGAAAAATAAAGATTTTCTCAATGAAACAACAACAGAGAATTTATTACTAGCAGATCTGTTTTGCAAGTGGTAAAAGTTATAGCCGGCGCCGCAGCTCACTAGGCTAATCCTCCGCCTTGCGGCGCCGGCACACCGGGTTCTAGTCCCGGTTGGGGCGCTGGATTCTGTCCCGGTTGCCCCTCTTCCAGGCCAGCTCTCTGCTGTGGCCAGGGAGTGCAGTGGAGGATGGCCCAAGTACTTGGGCCCTGCACCCCATGGGAGACCAGGAGAAGCACCTGGCTCCTGCCATTGGATCAGCGCGGTGCGCCAGGTGCAGCGCACCGGCCGCAGCGGCCATTGCAGGGTAAACCAACGGCAAAAGGAAGACTTTTCTCTCTATCTCTCTCTCTCTCACTGTCCACTCTGCCTGTCAAAAAATTAAATTAAATTAAAAAAAAGGTTCTTCAGGAAGAATAAAAATAATATAGGTCAGAAATGTGAACGTACATAAAGAAAGGACAAACGACAAAGAATAAAGACAAAGTAAAATTTTTCTTTTTCTTAATCCAAAAGATAGCTGTTTGCTTAAATTAATACTGACAATAATGTTTTGGTGATTACAGCTTATGTATGAATGAAATGACAGTAACTTCATACTGAGTGGATGGAAGAAGTGGGAATACTGTTTTGAGATTCATGTACTACCCCCACCAGGAAGCAGTAGGGTGTTCTTTGAAGGTGAACTCAGATTAGTTGAAATTTATATTGCAAACTTCATGGACACCATAAAATTTTTTTTCAAGAATCATAACTGATACGTATAGATAGTAGAAAGATCCATGTTTGCTATATTGTTATAAATGATTAAATAGAAAAATAAATGGAAAAGAAGTGGTAATCTCCCATACAGATTTTGATTTACAGATTCCCCATTCCTTGAGTGTGGGTTGAACACAGTTGACTTCCTTGCGAAGATTACAGCATGGGGAGGTGGAAGAAGAGGGTGCTCCACCAAGAAGAAACATGACAAACATCACCTAAGCAGGTGAGCAGGTCAATGCAAATGGGGACAAGTCACACTGACAACTTGTAATTGTTATAGGATCTCATGGAAATGATACTTCAGCTCTCATGTTCTTCCTTCCCCAAACCCATAACCCCAGCTGAATAATAAGAAAAACATCAGACAAATCACAACAGAGGGGCATTTGAAGAGGGCCAGTACCCCTCAAAACTGCTTAGTTGTCAAAAACAAGGCAAGTCAGAGAAGCTGGAAGCGAGGAGGAATCTAAGGAGGCGTGACAAGTAAGGGGAATGTGGCATCCTGCATGGGCTCCTGGGACAAGAAAGTGACATAAGTACAGACCATGGAACTCCACATAAAGCAGGCACTTGAGTTAATAATTACATATCAATTCACTGTGACAAGTGTACCATACTGACTTAAGATGTCAGCAAAGGGGCTGGCGCAGTGGCGTAGTGGATAAAGCTATGCCTGTAATGCTAGCATCTCACTTGGGCGCCGGTTCGAGTGCTGGCTGCTCCACTTCTGATCTGGCTCTCTGCTATGGCCTGGGAAAGCAGTAGAAGATGGCCCAAGGGACCGGCACCATGGCTCACTTGGTTAATCCTCCGCCTGTGGTGCCGGCATCCCACATGGGCACTGGTTTTAGTCCCGGTTGCTCCTCTTCCAGTCCAGCTCTCTGCTGTGGCCCAGGAAGGTAGTGGAGGATGGCCCAAGTGCTTGGGCACCTAGACCCGCATAGGAGACCAGGAAGAAGCACCTGGCTCCTGGCTTCGGATTGGCGTAGCTCTGGCTGTAGCGGCCATTTGGGGAGTGAACCAATGGAAGGAAGACCTTTCTCTCTTTCTCTCTCTCTCACTGTCTAACTCTGTCAAATAAATAAATAATAATAATAAAAAAAAAGATGGCTCAAGTCCTTGGGCCCCTGCACCCACATAGGAGACCTGGAAGAAGCTCCTGGCTCCTGCCTTTGGATCCATGCAGCTCCAGCCATTGCGGCCAGTTGGAGAGTGAACCAGCAGATGGAAGACCTCTCTCTTTCTCTGCCTCTCCTACTCTCTCTGTGTAATTCTGACTTTCAAATAAATAAATAAATAAAAAGATGTTAGCAACAGAGGAAGCCAGGGCAGCACACATATTAACTGTGCCTTTACCTAAGCAACTCTTCTCTAAAACTATTCCACATATATGTGTGTGTGTGTGTGTGTGTACATAACATATGTTTACAAATATACTATATACACATATAAATATATATGTAAACATATATGATATATATATACATATATATACATTTTAAGATTTACTTTAAAAGCAAAGTGACAGAGAGAGAGAGGGATGGACATAGAGAGAGAGAGAGAAAGAGACTTTCCATCTACTGGTTCACTCCCATATGGTCACAATGGCTGGGGCTGCTTGCAACCTGGAACTCAATCCAGATCTTCCATATCAGGGGCAGGTACCCAATTACTTGAGCCATCATTCACTGCCACTTAGTCAAATTCACAGGAAGTTGGATGGGAAGTGCAGAGTAGCTGGGACTCAAACCAGGCAGTCTAATAGGAGATGTGGATGTCCTATGCAGTGGCTTAGTTCACCGCACAACCCTACTCCTTAAAAAAATTTTTTTTAAATAGTGACAATATAAAAAAAAGTACTTAGTTGCTGCAAGAAAAAGATGTAATTAACATATTACAATTATTAACAATACCAAGTTCCACGTATCTTTTCCCCAAATTATAAACTACTACATGGAAATAGATAATATTGACAAAATTTGCAAAGATCCTATTTTTCCCCAAATTTATGTTTATTTGCTGTCTAATTTTTCTAGCAGATAACAGAGAGAAATTGGACCCTGAGTACCCTGAATGAGGACAGAACTGACACTGGACATTACCACTGCCTGATTCATATGGGGTACTGAGACTTGTGACTGGGTCACCCTGGCTCCTCAGGAGACTTCATCAAAAGGGTTAGATACTGAATTAGCTGTCAAAGAAAACAAAAGTCCACCAGCTCTGAGTTGGAAACGAGCTCTTCTACACCTGTTTAATGAACGTAAAGGAAATCTCCAGCTTGGCAGTGTGAGAAAGCTGCAGAAAGGTGAAGCGTCAACTTCAGGCAGAGGAAAGCCTAGGTAAGAGCTGGGTATGGCACTGCACTGCATTTTGGTGGCCTATATCGATTCCCTGAAACGTCTGTCTCTCTACAATTTAAAGAATCAAAGAACAACCTAGGGGCCAGCACCGTGGCGCAGCAGGTTAGGCTGCCACCTGCAAGAAGCCGAAGACGGCCCAAATGCTTGGGCCCCTGCCACCCACATGAGAGACCAGGATGGGGTTCTAGGCTCCTGGCTTTGGCCTTCCCCGTCCCTGGCTGTTACAATCACTTGGGGAGTGGACCAGGGGATGGAAGATCTTTTCCTCTGTCCCTCCCTCCCTCTCTCTAGCTCTGCCTTTCAATTAAATACAATAAATCTAAACAAGGGTAGGGAGGAAAGTTGATTAAGCAGACACACGCCAAATTTGGTAGGTCCTAAAATAATGCTGCCGCTGCTGCGACCACAGCTCCAGCCAGCACCTCCTGAGCTCTCAGCATGGCACATGTGTTCGCTCAGCCCCTAAGGCTGACAGGTGGACAGACTACCCTACCCGGCCAAGAGCCAATGGTCAACCTTGGTCAAGCTGGTTTCTTCTCCATACCTCAAATTCCATCATCTGGGGGCTGGTGCTTTGACGCAATGGGTTAAGCCCCCTCCTGAGACAACAGCAGGCATCCCATATGGGTGCCAGTTCAAGCCCCAGCTATTCCACTTCCAATCCAGCTCCCTGCTAATGCACCTGGGAAAGCAGCAGAAGATGGCCCAAGTGTTTGGGCCCCTGCACCCAGGTGAGAGACCAAGCAAAATCTGAGATGGAGATGGAGATGGTTTAATATGACAGCTCCTGGCTCCTGGCTTGGGCCTGGCCCAGCCTTGGCCATTGCAGCCATGTGTAGTGTGAACCAGCTGATAGAAGATATCTCTCTGCCTCTGCCTCTCTCTCTCTGTAACCTGGCCTTTCAAATAAATAAATCTTTTTTTTTTAAAGTCCTCATCTGTAAAATGCAGGTATTAACAGTCCTTCTGTAGAGATTAAAGGAGTATTATATAGAAAGAGTATTTCTGTACATAGTAACAGATAGCACCTGGCACATAAGAATTATGTTTGTAATTATCACTCCTATTAATGCTCACCAAATCTCTGAGGAATCTACTTTATTAACTTCATTTAAAATGGGGAAGTGCAGAGAGATTGAAGAATTTGCCCAGGGTCATCTCCCTTGCTGGGAACCCAGCCCAGGAATTTAAACTCCAGAGTCCTCATCTGTAGTCTGCAGGCCTGCATGTTGCCACGAGGGGCTTCGGCAAAGAGCCCAACAAAAAACAGAGCTTTGGAGGGTGGCAGAATGGAAAATCCAAGAAGGGAGGCTACGAGAAGGAGGTTTGTGTTAGGGCTAAGGAGGGACTTCTATGTGGGAACACTTAACAAGGGGCCAGGAAAGGCAGGCTGGATGCCAGGTGGGAGGTCGGGCCTGAGGACAGAACTGGGGGAGACCTGCAGAAGCTGAGGGTTACAGTAGTGGAAACGGACCTCAGAAGAGGGAAGGAGCAAGAAATCCAGGCCCAGTAAGGAGTCTGAAGTAGCAGGGAAAGCAAAATCTGAGATGGAGATGGAAGCAGTAATTGGATAAGTAAGAGGGACATTTGGATGGTTTAATATGACAGCTGCAACCAGGCAGCGGAAGACCCCAGGCAGCCCTGTGTCGTCCAGTGCCACTCCTAACCCCAAGGCAAGCTGAGCTCCTTCTGGCAAGCCCTCAGACTTCTCTCCACCAATATCAGTCCAGGCTTCAATTCCAAATGACCCCATTTCTAGAAGGCATCCCCTGAATCTCCTTGTACATTTAATCACGTGAACTTCCTGAAGATGGAAATAACATCCACTGCCTTTGTCTCCCTAGTGTGCTGCACGGCATCCCGTACACAGTCAGTGCCCAATAAATGCTGCTGAGGAGGTCTTCTGGCCCTTCCATGTCTTTATCCCAAGTGAGATGCTATCCTCTGTGAAGACAAAAACTCTCACACCCCATACTTCTCACCAAACTACCATCATGGTAAGAACCTTACGTTCAGAGCTGACTCAACTTTTGGTCATGAAATAAGTTTGGAGTGAATCAAGAGTGACCTGGGGACAAATGAGGCACCTTCCTTTGCAGCCCCTCCATAATCACAGGACCCTGGGAAAAACCTGCAAACAAGGCTTTCATTGGATAAAAAAGTATTGGGACAAAGAATGGAGATGTGTCCACCTCATTAACCCGAGAAACTAACTTGTGCAAAAAGAAAAAATGTTCACTGTTTGTCACCTGAGCGGGCAGCAGGTCCACGGCCATTCCTTCCTTCTTAGTTTTCCTGTCGTGGAGGGGGCAGAGTGCTGACCAAGTGGGTCTAGAGAGGAGAAAGGTGAAGACAAGGGATGGGTTGCAGAGAGAAGTGACAGGTGCCTGCAAAGTCCACCAGGTCCCAACCAAGCCACACCTACAAGGATGCAAACCAAGTAAGGACTGTGTTACCAAGCCGCGCAGCCAAACTCCATCCCCTCCCTGTATTAATCACATTCGTAACTTGTATTGATTAGAGTTGATGCTTTAACGCCCACCTCGGGCCTGTCAGCCACCTCTAGGCACACTGACTCATCCAGAGGCATCCTGAACATGGACAGCTTTAGACTATACATCTGATCGGTCATGGTGCAGATGAACTTCCCAGGGAGATACCACTCTCAGATGCAGGCAGCAGATCCTACGCCTGCTTGGCCAGCCTGCCTGCCTTCTACTTCTGTGAAAACCACAACAAAGACGTGTGCACCTATCTCTACCTCGTGACCATTCTAGTGGTCCTGCATGGAGTGCTGTCTTCTCCCTAAGGGACTGTGAGTATAATACAACCTGTAGGATTTCTCTAGCCTCTCCTCATCTGCATCTGGCTATACCATACCTCACCCAAGGTGCTATCATTAAAATTCCGCTGGCCACCCAAGATACACACCAGATTACCATTCCACTGCCCCTTCTAAATACTGACTCAGTCTCTTACGGCATCCAGGCCCCACCCACTTGCAGCAGGCAAAGTCAAGGGGGGCCTGGAGCAGCCAGAAGGAGTCAGTCATCTGGGCACAGTCTGCCCGAGTCTGCAGTGAGCTCCCTTGGGGTGCTGGCCCTGGCCTGAGAGGACAACATGCTACCCGTGCCGTGCAATCTCCTGCGGGCACACCTCAGCCGGCCAGAGGGAAACTGCTGTGGAAGTGATCAGTGCCACTCCATGGTGCACACTGCTCTGTGCCAGGAATCCTGCTTCCCGTGTATTATCTTTAATCTTTGCAACAACCCCCAAAAGTGAACACAGTAGGCCCCAGTGGGCTCTGCATCCATGGGTTCAACTCATTCTGAAAAGGGTTAAAAAACTGTATCTGCATTAAACATGTGAACAATACAGTCTGAACATTATGTATACAGCAATTACATTGTATCAGGGATTGGATCATAGATGATTTAAAGGATACAGGATATGCATGAGGCACCAGAGCATTCAGGTATCATCAGCTCAGGGTTCTGGGACCAATCCTGGATGGAGACCAAGGGACACTGTATTGTGACCCGTCTTGTCCCCTGCTACCTCATTTTACAGCTGTGGGGAAGACCGACAGCTAAGGAGTCATGACCTGCCCAAACTCACAAAAGCAGAAAGTAGCAGGGGCTGGAAGGGCACTCCTGGCGCCAGTCCAGGACCCTACATACATTCCAGTAAATTACCAGGCCGCTCTGGGCCTTGGTTTCTTCTTGCAAAAGGGAAACCCCGTGTATGCTCAACCTGTTGTTGGAGGATGCAGCGAGTTAACGCCTGCAAGCCGCTAGGCTAGTTCACTAAAAGCTATTGTTACTGCCTGTTTCGCTAAGCAGCTCCAAAGCAACAGCCCCAAAGGACTGGCAGGCCGCCCACCCCGCGGGGCCCGGACCACCCCCGCTCACCTGAGGCGGGTCCTTTCCCCGCTAGCGTCCC